TGCATGCAGGGAAAACACACGCACTATACACACACACACACTTTGTGTAGGTATATGACAGTTTGTGCAGACACATACGTACATGACCTTCCTACACTGTACAGTAGACAAAACCAAAACAATCAACGCGCATGCACGAAATTAAATATATAAAATGGAAACAATTTACCCATCGAACCATATATATATATATATATATATATATATATATATTCAAACAATCCAAATGGATAGATGTTTGTGAAAATGATAGACATTTAATAAACATAAGTATATATGAGACTGCAACTATGCTAAGCAGACTTCAGTAACGCTTTTTAAGAGAAAGCGCAATCAGGTGAGAAACTTTTTTGAACACGGACAGTACGCTCAAAGTCTTAGTGTTGACAGCTTCTCTACTCAAGAACTTGGGTCAAGGATTGTTAGATTATTTTTAAAAATTTTGCTAGCCGATGTTATCGATCTGAAAAGTCTAATTAATCAACTATAGCAAGATTAGAAACAGTGCATTATGTTCGGAACGCGAACATTCTAACCACTTATTGCACAATGGGTGCGTGGCCATGTTGAACTTACTAAATATCAATAAAAATGCTTATAAGATTGAACATGAAGAAAATGTCTACAGGGAAAAGACTCTAAAATATTTGCATAAAATCCAAGCGTTAGAACTTAAACCAATAAGGTTAATCAAAAGAGTTATTCAAAACTTTTGTTGGGCTACATCTATGAGATATCGTGTTTAAAAAAGAAATGGGCAATTAGATTAAGAATAGGAAAATAAATTTATATAAATTATTTATATCAGTTAAAAAACCTTGAAACTTTTGAAATAATTTTCCAGTTTACCTAATAGCAATTGACAGACAAAAATTAATATTTTATTTCATGATGGCCCGAGAAACGGCTGCATTTCATGATTGTGAAAGTAGAAAATAAGCACATTGTAAATGATTTTTATCCGTCAAAATACAGTCGAATAAAATAATTCCAAATAAAATCGTTAATCATTTTTGTCGTTAGTTTAAAAAATAAACAAAATAAACACACAAACTAGAAACTGTATTGTCAATACAGTAGACAATAAATGATTTATGAAAATGTGTTCATATTATAGAGCCTATGATTAAATATAGATATCTCTGTATATGTATGTTTCATATTATATTTCATATATATTTGCATATATATATTTTGCTTTACAAATATATATATATACACGTACGTTTTAAATTGGCATATATATATATATATATATATATATATATATATATATTAAAAATACAGTCCATTCCATTGATTATATTTTATTCCCCCAGGAAAGTGTTTTTTTTCCTGGTTCCTCAGATCACATTCCAAGCATAAAAGAAAATGGTTTAAAAATTTACATATTTTTTTATAAAAGTTTTTGAAGGGTAGTTTTAATTTGATGTAAGGTGATCGAGAGGAAGAGGACGACAGATATGATCGAAATTAGAGAGAGAAGGGAGAGATAGGAATATTTTTAAATCTATCTTTATTAAGATACTTAAGAGTAACACACACCCACATTATATATATATATATATTAGTGTGTGTGTGGGTGTGTGATCAAAAATTAACTCCTTTTATGTATGATTGACCAGCAGCCAGGAGTCCTGACTTACCCTGTAAGTTTTTTTTTTTTTTTTTTTTTTTTTTGGGGTCAAAGGAGGACTACTATACGAAACCAATACTTCGGAAAAAACTTGAAGAGTGAATACAAGAAGTTATGTCTTCCATACCGCGAGACTTCTTGGTGAAATCATTTAACGGGTTTCTTGGGCGGCTCGAAAATTTGATAGCGAAATCTGGTGCCCATATTGAATTTTAAATAAAATCTCATGCTAAATGCTTTCCTCTCATATCTATTTCTTGTAAAAATTATAGTTAATAAATAAATTATAAGTATTTTAAAATTGGGAGTTACTTTTAATCACCCTCTGTGTGTGTAAAAGTAGGAGTGCGTGCAATTTATGGTTTCTCTCTCTCTCTCTCTATATATATATATATATATATATATATGTGTGTGTGTTTTATGGTCCTATGCAGATATGGGTGTAACTAACTGCAAGCAAGATAAAAAACAAACTTTGATGCCTTCCCTATCAAACATTCACAAGACTAATGCTTATCTGAAGTAATGTATTTAGTATATATTATCCGAACTCGTTTAATGAACTACAGAGCACTATCAAAAAGCACTTACATATATTTATCAATACACACACACAAATATATATATATATATATATATATATATGTGTGTGAAATGTAGTGTCAAAAATGATTGTGCCGGGAAAAAGTTCATATTGTTTTTAAGTGAACTTATATGTCAATAGATATATGAACATCGATTCATTCAACCACAAATGTGCCTTATCGTTCCACTACATTTCACCATCTTTGAGGCATATTCATGATTTCATCCTCGTAGAACTTGGCATCTTTTTCAGTGATGAACTAGTCTAAGTAATTTTTAAAAACTTCCTGAGAATTTTCATTAACAGAATTTTGTTAGAATTGAAATAGTAATCCAAAAGTGCACGGTCAGATGAGTACAACGGGTTTAGCAGGAGATTCCAACCAGCTGTACCATTTTCTGCTGTTCCTGCAAAGACACGTGAGATGTGGCATTGTCCAGATGAAAGTCAACGCTTTTCCAATTGTTTAATCCTGAGTGGTTTTCATCTATTGCTGCATTTTATCGGTCCGTTTCAGAAGAATACTTGCCTGAATTCAACGTCTGGAATTACGGAAAGAGTTCGTAATGCAAAATGCTCTTCCATCTTCCAATCCCACCATACACAGCATCATCACCTTCGTTTTTTTTTTTTTTAGGGGGGGGTCCTCAGAACCTTTTTTTCCACATTTTTTCATGGCCCGTTATAGTTCATTTAAAAGTCAGGTTGTTTTTAATTATGTTTGATAGAAATGCGGTTCATTATTTTTTTTTTTTCATTAAAACATGAGGCGCTCTAAACGTAACGATTCACAAGTGTTTTCAAATGGCATACAAGGCTTGTATATGTAGAGTATCTCTAAGATTTCCCGTTTTGAGGAACTTGGATGATTTGTAATCGCCGTTTCGATCTGTTTATCATTAACAGCTGCAGTCATGCCAGAACGCGACCATTTATTAAAAAGAACTGGAAAAGAGACTTGTCCGACCTATTCGTATTTTGGCTGGTGTGTTTTCTCTAGGGCACGGCCTGAGCATGAATGTATGTGTGATCGGCAGTTATCCATGCAGCATAGTCTCCACTGCACACCACAGATACTGTCCAAGGTACTGGCGTCGTCGCACGAGTGACCAGAACGCGGTTGAACCCAACAACGGACTACCTTCGGGACTCTGGATCTAGATTTAACCTTCGGGTTTATTCCTGAAGCCTTTCCCTTGATAGAGCATGGCTGCAAGGTAGCAGTAGTTTAAAATCAGAATTTTCCTTCTCTTAAAATAACTTTCTTCACAGAGTAACGATTTTCATCGACACGATTGTTTTTTTTTTGTTTTTTGTTTTTTAATATATCTAAGTTCAGAGAAATTGACTTCATATTATCAAACAAACGTGCCTGTTTATAATTATGCATATATAATGCGTTGGCATTTGTTTTGTTTTTTTTATCAATAACCGAAGACAACTGATTATGAATTATTTAAGGTAATGGCAGGAATAACGTCTCAAGAATTGGCAAAACATGGCTGAATGCATCGTTGGACTGCCTTTAGTATTCCAGCTCCACATTTATCCTCAGAGTTTATTCACGAAGTCTTTGACATGATCGAATATGGTCACAAGGCAGAAGAAGTTTGAAATCAATATTTTTACATCTCTTAAATGGACTACCTTCTTAGAAGGACGAATTCTATGTACACTCTTCTTTTTTGAATATGTTTGAAAAATACAGTGAATATACACAGGTCTAAAGAAATAGAATCCAATATTATCAAACAAATGTGCCACTTATTTATATTTATGCATGCACAATGTTATGTCAGCGTGTGTTTTTAACCCATAGCCAAAGACAGATTTTGAATTTCTTAACGTTATTAATGAGATATACATACTCAAGCTAAAAAAAACATGATCTAGAATGGAAATGAAAGCAGTGACGTTACATGCCTTGAATCCATCCTAAAAATTCAGGCTGTGGAATTAATAAATACGAAACACTTCAAATACCTCGGTGTATGGATCAGTTTTAACAAATTTATTACAGGAGACTAAAAAAAAAAAAAATAAACAGAATAGGCTGCGCTAGAGATAGTTTCTCCCAATACAGCAAATTGCCACAAAACCAAAACATTAACTTGAAAACTCGAGGCATGTTCTTAAGTAGCCTCGTCAGATCGAGACCTTCTTGGGTGTCATACATGGCGAAGACCATCCTTCTTCGAATCTTGTGGACTGGCGCTACAGATCCACAAAGAATTGTACCAGATAACAGAAACCACATCACTTGATGACTTTCAAGAGTGCTAACAAGTAAAATGGTTATCACATGTAACCCTAAGAGAAAATAATGATATATGGTGACATTCCACACTACTTCAAATAAAAAGTTAGGAAAGAAACCCCATTAATACTAGAAAGAGTTAGTGCGCTTGAGAAATCTATTTTTTGTAAAAATTGTTTGAATGGAAAGATTTTATAAAATCCAACCAACAGTAGAACTGGCTGTTCGGTCAATGAATACTGAAGGTTTTCTTATTAGGAAACGGTTAATATTATCATTTGTCGCATTACAAAAGTTTTTCGCTAGCAGTTTCTCTGTCTTTTGATGGTGTCTTTATCGAAATATCACGTTCTTGAAATCAACTGAAAAACGAAAAAAAAAAAAAAAATTAAATAAAACATTCATCTTTATGTTGCATTTGTTTTTGTCATAAAACCAAGCAAATGCAGAAGCATAATGCAGGAATGTCGAACGCGGGTCTTTCACTGACTTTTTCAATGATTTATCCTTTTGTTTTTCAGTGACGATTTCACGATTCATTTCATCAACCGCCATTTTTCATAGCTCGACTGCCAGCGAGGTTTCTTTGTTTTTCCTCCTATCATCATCATTTGCTTTCTTTAAGCGCTCTCCTCTCTTTCCAGGGAGCGGGACTGAGTTTACCATCGGACTCATCGGCTATTCATAACAAGGCTGTGTGTGTGTGGCGTCAGAGGAATTATAACTGAGTATCTATAAATAACTGACAGAAAACACTTCACAATTTAAAAAAAAAAACAAACTGTGCGTTCATCAGCGGAACTGAATACTTTATTCACAACCTTTGCTATTCTTACTTCCTCTCAGTATTTCTTTTTATTCGGTGATCGCTTTTTCTCTATCCTTTCCGTCTCTATCCTTCTCTATATTCCACTTTTTACCATTCCATCCGCACCACCACACAGATACCTTCTTCAGCCTCTTCCCACACATTTCTTGTACACGTAAACTCATCGTCTCCACTATTCTATGACCTCACATCCGTATTCTCTGGCATATCTCCTATATAACGCATATACACACATTGTCTTTTCTCCTATAGAAATATAGTACACTCTTTCTAGTCTGCGTACTTCGTTAAGTGATTGCAAATAAATATCAGGTACATTCAACAACTTGCAGATTCATGCTGTTTTATTTATAATAATGTTCACCCTGTACAAGAGTTACAGAGTCACAATTTATGCGGATGTGTGGTAACATTTAAACCTAGACTTGAATATGTTAAGGCAGTAGTGACCGGGGGTACGTCCTATTGGGAATTGTTTCCACAAAGTATCGGTTCGTGGGAAGAAGAATGGAATAAGAAAGGAATGAGGGTGGTTCGCTGCAATGTGCATAGCATGCTGGGTCTTTACCATGAAGTTTAGAACTGGTGGAACTAAGCAGTGGATATCGTCAGAATATTTCCCATGGTATTTGCGATAGAGTAGCGAGAGGTTTGAGACGTTTCGTCTGTGAGGAAAGGGGTTGTAGGAGGGAAGGCAATTCATCACCCCCAAGAACACGGAGATGCTTTTAAACTGGAAATTTAAAACTGGACTGCTCCTGCTCATCTAGTGCAACTGTCCTCCATTTTCGGCTTGATCTTACCCTTGTAAAGGTAGAAGATATCAAGAGGAGCCAGGTTCTTAATGGTGCGGTCAAGGAAACCGACCATTTTCCAGCATCTTCAGTGATCCATGAGGTTTGGGTTGAGCGTGTCCCAATAAACGCTCAAAGCACGGGGCCTCACTGAGACGGCACCCGTTTATCACGATAGGCGAAAATAGAGAGAGTCTGTTCAGTGATGATGAAAGGTCACTAGATTGGCATTGAATGTGAACAGCCAGTTTTTCTCCTACCGAGATGTGAGAGCTAGGCCAGAAGAGAGGTAGGATTAGTAAATTTATATCTCGCCTTGCACCCTTTCTCTTCTCTTGAATATATTAATGTAATTATAGTTAAAGTTTTGATGACTTTACGATCAATTTAATGATTTTACAAATAGCTGAAATACTGTTTATTAAGTAGAGAACATTGACGTGGTGTAATAGTTAAAAAAGCTTGTTTGATTAGATCAATTACGAGTGAGTTCGATCCTCACTGGGTGCCCCATACTTTCGGCCTTATGCCACATCTAAGCTGCGCTTGAAAAAGCACCAATACTGCTTATTAAGTTAGATTAAACAAATTACTCTCCAATCGATAGGACTCTTGCAATCGGCTTTGAAGTTATGTTTTAACTTAGATTCAAAACCTCATCTCTTTGTGAGATGCAGAACAAGGTAATTTTTTTAAGTGGGTAGTTGAAGAATCCCGAGGTCTCTGCATATATCAAGACATTCTTGACCCTACTCAAGAGAATACAATGAATTGGACAGTCTAGAGGGCGGGTACCTGGCCACTAGAGGGCTCCAATATCCACCAGACGGCCCCATTCTAGGTGTTATGTTTGTATACATATTTCCTACAATAAACGTAGAAAATATGATATAAACATAATATAAATTATTTTCGCATGTATTGAACGAAGACGGAAACTGGTTTGTTTTTTTTATGCTTACGAATTTGTTAAAATGAGTAAGACTAAATGGGTGGTGACGGATTAAATATTGTATGGCAACAGTCCCCACCAATGAGAATAGCCTGTATGCTTGCATACCTTCCTTGAAAATCAGTATTTGTGATACTCTTTTTTTACCTGGCTTGAACACCAACTACTGGCACTGATGTGAAAAATCTACTACAGACACTCGTGTAAAAAGCATACGAGACAGGCTACAAAAGTAAACCAAGTCTGCCACGTGGTTACAAATGTAAAGTACCTATTATGACTATAACACACTGAAATGGTAACTGTTCTATTATGTTTAGCTATTAGCATAAGTAAATAATACTAGTAATTTCAGACTGGTGTATTTTCCATTTTAAATTTACACCCATTTTTTTTATTTTATGATCACTAAGCAGCATTCATTGAACCTATCGTTTAAAGATTGTCGAAAGCTACATTTTAATCCCTGTTTCGTGATGTTTACTCTTACATTCAAAGATTTTATGTGATGTAATTAAAATGTAACAATAATTAGATTATATAAAGATAGTAATCAAATAAGTTCTATTACCATTTGGACAGTTTTTGCTGTATTTTCCTTTTGTATACATATTACTTGTTCCTGTTTGCTTTAATGGAAACAAGAAGTTGTCTTCCGTTTAGCCTTACAATTTATTCTACTTCGAATCCAGTAAAAAAATAGCGGGCCCTTAACAATGTTATGTAATTTTATACTTTCTAGATGTTTGTTGAAATGATATTTTGTTACTTTAAATTTGGAATTTGGATAATTACATCCCAAGCCCTATACAAGCAAGTTCCCTAAACGAAAAGGGATTTACTCAGTACAAACACTCAGAAATGCCTTTAGAATGGTATTGTATCATTTCAAGCCGCTTTAGCAGTGACGCCATATCATGTAGGGAGACGGTGAACTACCGGATACAGCTGCGTTCCACACTTTGAATTATGACATTTTTAGAATAGCGAAAAGTCTGTGGGTGTTCTTGCTCGCTCTTGGAACTGATTATCTTAGAAAAACAGAAACCTGTAATTTTTATGAAAAGGTTTTACGAAGGGCGTTGTTTATAATCGGCACAGATTCTTTTGGATTTCAAAAATTATGTTAACATATAGGCTACTTGGGTTGCACGAGCTAAATGATTTCAAGATGGACAAGCGCAAACATGGTTCAGAAAAGACGGGGCCAGAATCTCGTAGCACTGATCAAGGTCATTCAAAGACCTGTACCTTTTAGTAAAGGAAATAATGTATTGTGTTTATTGTGCTACAGTATTCTTCTCTTACAAAGTTATTAAACTGATCTCAGGATTTATAAACGTGTTTGAATATATTTTTATAGTGATTAAAAATACGAGACAAATATTTTGCCCTTGAGAAGCATTGACTCGACTATAAAATAATTAGAAGGCAGCAATTATCTCATACGACAAGGAAATGTAGCAAACTTTGTGTTTATTGATTGATTCATTCATTCGTTCTCTACGGCGTATCAATCCATTGCAGGTTATTTAAAGCCAGAAAATATTTTACATTTTAATTTTTTTTTTTTAGAATGATTTCGTGATACAAGTTTTACTAATTAAGCCATAGCTGGAGAGAGAATAGGTGGATTCACACCTTCCCGAATGGTATTTGCGCATAAGTGAATGTAACGAACCCAACTGGAATTGGAACACAGCTCCCTTTATTAACAATTCCGAACCATTATCCATTACAACTTCACACATCCAAGCTTACAGCACTTGATGTTCCCAAGCAGTCATCCATTTAGATACTGACCAGGCTCAACGTTGCTTAACGTCGGTGATTATACGTCTACACTGTCACACGTGTTCTTGGTTGTGGATCTCTTTAAGATTATACTCCTTCCCTGTAATGCCGTACATTATTAAATACTAGAATATCTCCTTTTAAAACAAAAGGGAGGTACAGTCAAGTAACAGATACCCGATGCCATAGCAATTTATCATAAACCCTTAGCAGAAGCAAAAGTTCGTCTTGTAACTAGTGTGAGTCTGAGTTGCAATATTGCTTTCTAAAAAGAAACTATGTTTTGTTGTTTGTGCTCAGTACTTGTTCAATATTAAACTGCACATGAAGTAAAATTATGTAAAACTAACTATTGATCTGTTTTGGCTCCATGCAGAAAGTTAAAGTAAATTTAATAAAAACAAAGAATTATTTTATAATTGTCGTAGATTCCGGGATGAAATCTGGTCTCAAATGAATGACAAACGCAGGAATGAAAAATAGTAAATAAATGTATTGATGTAATAATACAATTGGTAATACGGTTAGTAGATCCAGAAATGCGGTTAGTAGCAATAATATATATACAGTCTGGGAAATTCAGTATCGAAGTATGACTTCCTTCTGAGTCTACGTGCTCGCAACTGTGACTACTACAAAGCGGTTACCTCACTCTCACTTTATCAGTGTATCTCTCCCGGGTATTCACCGGCAGCAGTACAAGTACACACTAGTCGAGTCCACTTGTATGAAAAAGGGGTGGACCCCATAACAATAATATATACGTAGGTAGGTCGAAAAGTAATACTTATTCTAATTTGATTTAAAGCGTATTAAGCCAAAAACACCTTTTTACATAAAGACCATAAAATATTCAGAAACATAAGAGAAATCTTTTGCATTTGTTTTTGTCTTCCTAATCATATTTTTCTTTTAAAATGACTACCACTGAATGCATGAAGAAGGCAAAAAGCTGCCGTAGAAATGCTGTTTTTAGAAGGATATAGTCTTACAAACATCCACAGGAGGTCAGTGAATATTTATGGAAAGGCTGCACTTGATATAAACACACTAAGGAGATTGCCATTAGCACTACTGAACAATCTTCGAGAGAAAGGATAAATTTATTTTAGTGGCAGGCCATCTGCAAATGAATATACGGCCAAACAGACTGGCACTCTCATTATAGCCGATAGAGGAAGCACTATTGGAAAACTAATTGGCTTGTCTCATGGCTGAAATCTCCGTCTTTCAACTGAACTCAAGCAAAAGGTCAGGAATTCAAATGTGGATATTCAAGGTAATCAAGCCCTCCTCAATTGGAGATTAAAGACTTAATATCCCTAACTCCTTTATGTCGGAGTAGATTGGTTTATTTATTTTTTGGATGTTTACATTTTTTTCATACTGCATATTTTGAAAATAGTTTGAGAAATCTCCATATATGTTATCGCCTTATAAACAGGATTTAAACAGTTTTTTTTAGTTCCTTTATCTCCTTCGAGCCATTTTGTGTGTTATGACGATGTTTAGAAAATAAATGTTGTTCATAAATATATCGTTCTTTTGGGCCAATCGGCGGAATAAATCGGACAAAGTGCTATGTAACCTTATCCCAAAGGAGCTGCAATAATTGAGATATATATGAATAAATAATACTGATC